GTGTGTGTGTGTGTGTGTGTGTGTGTGTGTTTATATATGTAAACACATTGCAATGTGGAGACAAGCATCCCAGCCAGAACGCTAGGATAATCTCTGAATTGTGGCCGCCTGTTTATATACAGAGACAGACAAAGACATTCCACAACTCTTACATGTTAGTTCATCTCACAGGGGGCTATACCATCAGCCCCATCCTTAAAACCTCCTCCCTCACAGAGAGAATTATGACCTTGTTTTCTGCTTGGTGCCACCTCCCAAAGAGCAGGATGTCTGGAGATCTTCAAGTCTACAATGGGTCCACTGTGAAGGTGGAATAAAACTTAGGGCCCACTTGTGATAAAATTCCACATACAATTGCATACAACTGGTGTCAGGAGTGAGAAAGTACTATTACTATTACTAAAGTGATATGATTAAAGTATGTGATTAATACATTAAAATATATGATTAATACATCAGAAAAGATTTATTTTCTGCTTTGCTGTTATTTATTGTATTAGATCATTTTTGTATTGTTTCACTTCTTTCTTTCTCTCCTGGTCTTATTCATCTTATTCACATAAACATCGTCATGAATTCCCTCTTACTTTTGCTGTTTTGCTTCCACCACGATAAAAATCACACTTCCTGCACAGCTCTCTCTCTCTCTCGCTCAGTGTACTTCAAGAACAATTTTCCGTCTAAAAATCTCCGTTTTCTGCATTATTCACTTGCTTATTACCCGCCAGTCTACCGTTGTTTACAGCACTGTCAGCTGCAGTTTTTTTTTTTATTTAACTGAATTCTGACAAAAAAGCCTCATTTCTGCTGTTCAATAATGAAGAAATTTTAACTTGCAAAACTTGCAAATTGCAAAACGCTTAGCTGTGTCTCTAATTAAACCTCTCTAACGTTGCTCTGTTTCACTTCAGCACCATGGTTTCCTTCAGTGTTTGTTCCACTGCAGAATATTTTTAAGGTTATCCGCTATAAAAAGCCAGGCCAGGAAAATCTCCTTCATGTTGTTCTGTTTCTGTCATCAGTTACTTTGACACAAAGACATCTGCTGTGATACTTACACCTCTGATAAAGTTTCACAAGTGTCAGCTTTCTTTTTATAGATATAAAAATATGGATATGTACTGATAAATGATCAGAATTATAATATTTCTGACTGTCTGGGGCAAAATTTCCTCGATTCAAATCTAATCGAATCGGGACCTCGTGAATCAGAATTAAATCGATACCCAGCCCTAGTTTATACATTACTCGTCATTTAATCATTAGTTAATATTAATTTCTGGCTTACAGCTCCACAGTGTGTCTTTTGTCTTGTCTCTCTTTTCTCATTCATGACTGGTTGCAGCATATGGCTGCCCTTGGTTCTGCTGGTAGTTTTCTCTGGTTAAAAGCCATGAAGTACTTGCTCATTGGGAGTTATCTGATTGTTGGGATTTTCTCTCTAATATTGTAGGCTCGTTACCTTTTAATGCAAATGCATTGAGGCAACTCAAGGTGATTTGGCACTAAATAGATTGAATTAAATTGAAATTATTTCAATTGAATTAAATGTAAGAAGTTAGTCAACATATTACACTTTGAAGGCCAGAGATTAAAAATGTCTTTCTAACAAGATTTCGAATCAGAAAGTGAAGGAGCCTGCCTGATGGAAAGAGCCAATGACTCGGTTGTACATGTGCTGTAAAATTCAGAGCTGTGCCTTACCAGTGGGTGACTGGCATGCCAGATGAGGGCAGATCTAGAAAAATCACCAACTCATACGTGCAGCTCACCTTCATACACACACTCACATTATGACGCAGCTAAAACCAAGGGTGCATAAATGAGCACAGCACACAGAAGGTCCCACCACCAAGGCACCCAGTCCCTTCCACTTTAAGCCTCCTACTTCTGAATAAAAGAAACAAACTGTGTTAATGTATTCAAACAAAAACCAAAACACACTCTGTGGTTAGCCTTACTGCACAAACACAATAGTGATCTGCAACTAGAAAAACTGCCTCCGTCTTACAATGGTGTGACACAGACAAAAAAATGTTTTTAAAAATTTAAAAAATAATCGACAAATGAAAATATTGGGAAACCAAATGTACAAAACCAAAATAAATGCAACCTTCAAAAAGAACACAAAAAAGCAAAAATGGACACAAGGCAAAAAAAGGAATCCAAAAAGGCAAAGCAGCAGCACTTCTGTAAATGTTGCCCAGAGTAGTAGTAGCAGTCCCACTATAAAGCTACCCTCCGCCCAATCAGGCCCAGGCTTCCTGCAATGCATCATACGATTAGCATCTACAGCAAAAGACAATAGAAGTAAGGCTGAGATCGTAACAAATCGAAGCTGCATACCAATCAAACGGTGTCACCTAATTGCAGCTACAACCTATAAACACACTTGTTTAATACCAAGTAAAATAATAAATGAATGGCACAAAAAAAAAAACATAACATACCAGCAATCGATGGAATGTTAGGGTTACTGGGTCGGTGACCCAGTGTTTTGTGTTTTGGTTATTTGATTTTGTTATTTCTTTATATTCTAGCTTTGCTTTACAGGTTTTTCTTAAGTTAAGGTCCTCTGGGTGGGGTTTGGTTAGAGTTTTAGTGTTTTGGTTTTCTGTCTGTGTTCCTTTGTTGCTATCTCCCCTGTCTGCTGTATTTCCACGTCCAGTCAGTCTCTGTTCCCTTTGTTTTAGTGCTTGCCTGTGAGTCTGTGTTATGTTTCCTGTTTTACTTTGGAAGTCCATGTCTGATGTTAATGTGTCTGGTTTTGCTTCCCCTGGTCTCGTTAGGCCTGATTTGCCCCAGCTGTGTTTCCCTCCTGTTACTCATTCCCTGATTGCTCCCTCTGTGTATTTAAGCCCTGTGTTTCTCTGTGTCCATGTTGTGATCTACTGTTTATTTTGCTGTGTGTTTTGAGTTTTTCCCAGTTATGTTATGTTTGCGTTCAGCATTAAAGCTGTTTTGGTTTAAGTTTGTCTCTGGAGTCTGCATCTTGGGTCCTATCCCTGTCCGCACACAGCCGTCACACAACAGAAGATCGCGACCAGAACATGGACCCTGCAGACTCCTTTTCCTCTGAGTTCAACGGCGAGATGAGGTGGATGGTGAGTCTGCTCGACCGCATTGCCCAGTCACGGGATCTACGGACTATGGCAGTCGGGCTGAATGCAGTGGATGCCATCATTCGCCATAACCCTCAGCTGTCTCAGTTTGCTAAGGACACTAAATTGGACGACACCATTACTGCCTGGAGAGAGCAAGTCAAGGCTGGTGAGCTTGCTCTCTCATTCTCTACATCTTCCCCATCGTTACCCCAGGACAA